TGTATCCACTTCTATATATAACTTGTTTGATTGAGTATGTGCTTGTATATTAATTGCATATCAGATTGATAATAAATGTTGCCTCCGATTCTCTATTCTATTTGACTAAAAAATTTCAGTGAATTAGGGGTTAAGCTATGTTTAGTTTATAGAAATGTTAAATTTCTATTTGACTTAATAATTTCCATAAATATCTATGGCCTAGTATAATGTTTTGTGGAATCAATGATGTTTTTTTTTTTTTTTTTTTTGAATTGGTAAATTACTTTAGATTTTTGTGAGAAGGTTTCAATTATTTTCTTCAATAACACTTTTAATTTCTCTTAGTTTGTCAAAAGAATTTTACCCAACCCTATGACTGAGGCTTCACATTGTTCATGTATTCCATTATCCATTTAAGTTAGCACAGTTATGTCAACTTCAAGATTGTGATTTCACATTGTGTTGGACCATTTGTATTAACACAAAATTTCCACTTTTTGTCTCTCGGTTGGTAGCTTGCTAATTGTTTGCTAACTCCACTACAAGAAAAAACACCTTTGGTGATCACCTTTTTTGAGTTGGTCGCAGAAAGTACACTAATCTGTGACCAACATTTATTTTAGTCACGGATGATTGTGTTTTCGCGACCAACATTTTTTTGGTGGTGAATAGGTAAGTATTCGCGACCAAATACAAAATGTAGTCGCCAAATGTGCTAGCAAGAGCACGAAAAAAAAAGGTAGGACATCAAACCTTTTGCTGACCAGTAGATTGTGATCACAAAAAGGAAACTGTAACAAAACTAAATGCTTAAATGAAAAACATGTTTAATCCTGAGCCTTGAGCTATTCCTTCGTTGCTTCCTCTTTCCTTGAGCTTCCGATCGATTCATCAAACCCTAGACACCATCTCCTCACTTCATCCCCTGGTTTTGCTGTTCTTCATCTTCGCCTCTGCCTTGTACTTACCAGGTTAGTGTCTCTCTCTCTCTCTCTCTCAATCTCTCTCTTTGTTCGTGTATATATATATAATCGATTGACTTTCCTTTGTCATTGTTGCAACTCCTCACTTCCGATCGGTTCATCAAACCCTACCACCATCTCCGTTCACTTCATCCCCTGTTTTGCTGCCTTTTCATCTTCGGATCCGCCATTGTGCTTACTTGGCCAGTCTCTCTCTCTCTCTCTCTCTCTCTCTCTCTCTCTCTCTCTCTCTCTCTCACTCTCTCTCTCTGTGTGTGTCTCAATATACAACAATTTTTTTTAGATCCCTGTAATCAGTCTTGTTTCATCGAATGCTCTCTGTAATTTGTTAACTCATTGCCCTCATTTCTATTTTTAGTGAAGAATCCATATCTATGTCTATATCTATATCTCTATCATTTGATTTTCATGCATAGGCATTCTGATTTTTATTTTTTATAATCTCTATCATTTGATTTTTATACATAGACTTTGTGATTGATTTATAAACCGATCTGAATATTTTTAATCACACTTAAAAGGTGTGATCGAAATGTTATTAATCCCCCTTAAAAAGTGTGATTAAAAATGACCCTTTTTAATCAGACTCCCAAAGATCACATTTTAATAAAACTTAAAAGGTGTGATTAAATAACATACATCACACAAAAAAAGTGTGATCTTTATCTATTTTTGTAGTACTGAAAGCACTTAAAACACGCAATCAACTCAAACAAGTAGTGTCTAAATGCCTAAAACACTAAGCTTGTGAGGACACTTACACTACAACCATGCAAAACAACACTCAAATGCAACAACCAGCCAAAAATAGAGGCAAAACAGTCCAAAACAGAGGTTAAAACATGTTGTAATTAAGCTATAAAAGGCTAGAAAATTAAGCTAACACATAGAGCTAACTAGGCTAGCAAACATGACACGAGGAAGGGAGGCTAACCCCTCCAAATTTGGACTTCAAAACATGATTTTCACCACATAAATTACTCTGAAATTCAGTATTCGAAAGCCCAAAAAAAGATGGCTTGAAAGTGGGAAACAAAGGTGGAAATGCCCTACAAACAAGAAAGAAAGAAGGGTGGACCACCCCCTAACTTTAAATGGCCTAAAACCACCAATTTCAACCCCTAAAAATAGAGTTTTTTTACAGCCCAAAAATAACCCAAATTAGTTGGAAAAGATAAGAAAAACAAGTATGCAAAACAAGTTAAAAAGGGAAGTGTTATATCTCTTAAAGGGAAGACCAACTCTAGGCAACAATTCAAGCCAAAACCAGCTTCTAGAGCTCTAAGAAGGCCTCAAGGAATCTCAGCTCAAAGATGAACCACTTTGGTTAAGGAGGTGTAGGCAAAAGTGTGGTGTATCTAAGCTACTATGCACAAACTTACAAGAGAAATGGAGAGAAATATATATATATATATATATATATATAGAGAGAGAGAGAGAGAGAGAGAGAGAGAGATAATTTTTGCTCCAAAAATTTTAACCTTTAAAAATAGGGGAGGAGACCCTCTATATATAGAAAAACATGCACTTGGCTGAGGTATATCCCTTCATACACATGTAGGGAGATGCAACCAATTGTGGTAACAACTAGCACAACTGTCAACAAAATATTTGAAAAAATACACTAATAGCCGGCAGGCCACCAATAATGGCCGGCAAGCCACACCATTGGCTGGAAGCCCACAAAAGATGGCCGACAGCCCACCAGAGGAGGCCTGTAGGTCCTAGGGTTTTGAGGTTTGAAGCATTAGGGTTTTGGTCCAAAACAAGGCATAGAATGGATAGGGTTTAAAGGTTCAAAGACAGGGTATTTCGCCGAGGACTTTGGGCACTAAAACGAGCACATGCAGTCATAATCATCAAGTGCACGAGCGATGACGTCCAAGTCTTCAAGACGGTAAAAAATGGGGTGTCTACAAACACCACAACCTCCATTCGCCGATCTGGACTATCTCTCTCTTTACACCACTGCCTTCGCCATCCCCGTCGTCGATCCGATACCAAAATCTGTAGATGCATCGTCCTTTATCCGAACTCGCTGAAGGTGGAGGCCGTGTGTCATCCTGCAATGCTCTAAAGACTTATATTCTTGAAATAGTAGGTAGAACTGCTTGCATATTTGTTATGTATGAAGGGAGTTTATTTGTGATTGTATTAGGATATAGAATGTTACTATATAATATATATATATATATATATATATTTGAATTTTAATTGTGATATGGATTCATATCAAGTGAAATGAAGTGATCTGATTTGGATCTGGATCCATATCCAAATGAAGTAAATATTGGCTATGATTTGAGACAACAAAAGCTTAGCTTGAAGTATGTAAATTCTTGTCCAGACGAAGATGAGGATAGATTCTCAAACATAGCCATACTAATTTGAAATGTTGTTTGTCTTATATATATAGGTATCAACGCATGGGTGTTGTAATCTATTATTATCACATTTAAGCAGTGAAATTCTGAATTTATATTGCAGTCAGATTCTGGCGAAAGTTCTCAATTAGATTCATGTGTGTGTGTAGAACACTCACTCTATTTTCTTATTTTCTTTTCTTCTTCTTCTTCTTCTTTTTATTTTTTTTATTGTTTTATTTTATTTTATTTTGCCTATGTTGTTTTGGTTGTCTAGCTAATGCCTTGAATCTGTTTGCCTCACTTAACTGTCCTTTTGCAGAATGCTCTCTTCTTCTTCATCATCAAAACTGTTCAAAATTTGAATAGATATGTTTAACATTTGAATAGATAATAAAATAGGACAAATAATTTTGGCTTGATATTTTAACAGATAAAATTTTTGGCGTTTATCGGTTTCTCTCTCTTAGATTATGATCTGTATAAATTTCAACAGATAATTTTTTTTTTTATTATTGTTGAACAGATATGTTTGGACAGATGGGATTTGGTTTGGCTTAATATTTCAACAGATAGTACAAATTAAAAAAAATGAACAGAAAAAATTTCAACATATAAAATTGAGAGACAAGAATTGATCGCACAATAATAAAAATTTAAACTGAAAAGTTGATAAAATTAAACAGATATGATAAAAAAAATTGAATAGATAGGAAAAAAATTGAACAGATAGATATAAATTTGAACAGATAGTTAAAAAAAGTCAATAAATAAAAAAAAGTCAACAGATAAATTAAGGGGTAAAATTGAAAACAAAATGTTCTTCAAAACCAGCAAAAAGACTTCTCACCAAACTATTTGACAAAAGGTGGACTTTTCACCAAGAAAAAATATCAACTGAATCTAATGCCTTAGACAATTTATAGAGTGGATTTTTCAACAATTTACTCTTTTTAATATTATATAAGAAATTAGGTAGCATTTGGTAGAGTTTTAGAATTATGATTTGAGAATAGAGTTATATTTTGAGTTTGTGAGTTTTGGAATTATAATTTGAAAAGATAAATTTTGTTTGGTTATGAGTTTTGAATTGTTGATGTGACATATGAAATGAGAAAGGTTGTTTGGTTATGAGTTTTGAAAAGAGTTTTCAAAACTTAATTGAAAAACTTATAACTCATAACCAAACACACAACTCAAAACTCTATTGAAAATTCTATTCAAAACTCATAACCAAACTCTTTTTAAAATTCAATTCAAAAAAATAATTTGTTATTTTAGTCTAAAAGAATAATTTTTATATTTGAAAAATATCAAAAACAAATATAATTTTTTTTTCCCAAATAACAGGTGGCTATTGGCAATTGCAAAAAAAAAAAAAAAACATTGTTCCGGTCAACTGGCCGGACGTCGGGGAGGATGACCGGGTAGACTCAAAATTCAAAAATCTTCTGCTTTTCAGAATGGAGAACACAAAAGAGAGAGAGTAGCCAAACGTAAAAGAGAAATATGTTTTGAAATGTGTGACAGAATCACATTTTCAAAACTCCATCCAAACAATGCATGCAACGGAGGGGTGGAATTATGATTACAAAGCTGCACCAAACACAACCTTTATTTTTTATTTTTAATTCCCAAGAATGAGCATGATTTTTTTATGTACTGCTCATAATTTTACAGATATTTATGCTTTCTCAGGTTCATGCTAAGTGCTACGGGGAATTAGAGCCTGTTGATGGGGTACTTTGGTTATGTAACTTATGTTGTCCGGGGGCTCCCAAGTTTCCTCCACGTTGCTGTCTTTGTCCTGTTATAGGTAGTTCAGTGTCATTAATGTTTCTTTCTTTCTTGTTTGTTTCCTTTTTTGCCCTATCAGCATTTTTTGTTTTTAATTTATTTATTTTATGTTGCATCAATGGTTATACATCATTAAATATGAAATTAATTTTTTTTCCAGGGGGTGCTATGAAGCCTACAACAGATGGACGCTGGGCTCATCTTGCTTGTGCCATATGGATACCAGGTTTTTGAGTGTATGTTAACATATTATTTTTCTTCTATGGCATCTTATAATCTGTTTGTTGACTTCCCTAGTATGTTTCAGAAACATGCTTATCTGATATCAAGAAAATGGAGCCGATTGATGGGCTGAGTAGAATCAATAAGGTAATCTCCCTTTGTTATTTTTTTATACTTTGGATTACAATGACCTTTTTCCAGTGTTCTTTTTTCTTAAAATTAGATTTATAATGGTTTCCTTGTGATGATAAAGATAACCCTCATTATTACTTGTAATCTCCAATATGAACATGAGGAGTTACAACTATGTCATTTCTGTCCAAAAAGGACTAAAAAAGAACAAAAGAACACAAGATATTCAGAGTGTTTGAGGTTGAGCTAGATCATCTTTTTCCCCTATTGTAACGCTTTTGTTTCTCTCTGACAGGACCGTTGGAAGCTTTTGTGTAGCATCTGTGGTGTGTCTTATGGAGCTTGCATCCAGGTAAGCTTGTAATTGTATAATCACTGTGGTTGTTATTTCTAATTGTTTATTGTTCAGCCTTAATCTTTGTATGATGGTGTACTTTTCTATTCTCCACTTCTTGGGTCCGATCTTGGTTACAAAATTACTTGCCAAGTGGCCATAAGCTTGCTGAATTCAAAAGAGTTGCAAGGAAAAATAGATGCATGAGATGAAATATCATTATTATTGTAATTATGATTTTACCGTGTGAGATTTATCCTCGTAATTGGGGTTTGTTTCACACATCTTTCTCCGGCATGCATCTCTCTTTTAAGTTTCCCCTCTTCCTTGTTTTTGTTGCTCTGTAAAAATTCTAGGTTAGCGTGTTGTTTGATCAGAATAGTGTCCAGGTGTGTGCTCCATCATCCTTGGGCCTTCTTTGCATTTCGAAGACTTTTTGTGTTGACTGGTGGTTGAAATATTTTTCTAACAGCAATCTGTTGGGCCCAAGAAGGTACCAGATGGCCAAACGTAATTCTATACCCTTTCTGTATTATGCACAACTTAACAAATAGCCAATATTAACAATTTGGGGCTGGCTTGTTCTCCAGCCTGTTCAATTTGGGTGACAATTCCTGAACAAAATAGAGGATATTGTTTTTCAGAGACTGCTTTAGGAAAGTTCTCTAGGCCTTTTTTGGTAGCGTTTGGTAGAGTTTTAGAATTATGATTTAAGAATATAGTTGTATTTTGAGTTTGTGAGTTTTGGAATTATGATTTAAGATCTATATGGAGCAACCGAAGGGTGTGTAGTACCGGGGCAAGAAAAGAAAGTTTTTCGGCTTGTAAAATCTCTTTATGGATTAAACAAGCACCTAAGCAAATAGCATGAAAATTTGATTATGCAATGCTTACTAATGGGTTTAAGATAAACGAATGTGACAATGTGTCTATGTTAAAAACACTGACCAAGGATATGTCATAGTTTGCCTTTATGTGGATGGCAATGCTTATCATTGGAAGCAGTAAAACATGATCAAATCAACTAAGCAAATGCTTAACAAAAGATTTGATATGAGAGATATGGGGTTCGCAGATGTTAATATAGGAATGAAAATTACTAAAACATCTGACGGATATGCATATCTCAATCTCATTATATTGAGAAATTTTTGATAAATTTATCAGGATGATATGAATGTAGCAAGAACACCTGTAGACATTAGTCTTTATTTATCAAAAAATAAAGGTGATGCGGTGTCTCAGTTAAAATACTCCCAAATCATTGTAAGCCTAATGTACCTAATGAAATTGTACTCGTCTGATATAGCTTATGCTATCAGTAAATTGAGTAGGTACACTAGTAACCCCAGAGAAGACCATTGGAAGGCGATCATTCGGGTTTCTAGATATCTAAGATTCACCCGTGATCATGTTTGAATTTTACTGATATCAGCAGTACTCGAAGGTTATTGTGATGAAAATTGGATATCGGATACTGAAGATTCAAAATCACAAGTGGATATGTCTTTTACTCTGGGGGCGTTGCCATTTCTGGAATCCATGAAACAAACATGCATCGCACGATCCACAATGGAATCCGAGTTCATGCTTCTTAGACAAAGCAAGAAAGAGGCAGAATGTTTCGTCACTTCTTAGAAGACTTCTAATGTGGCCAAAACCTGTGCCAGTTATTTTGCATTCATTGTGATAGTCAATCTGCAATAGGTAGGGCACAGAATCATATGTACACGGTAAGTCACAACATATTCGTCGTCGACATAAATTACGTAAGGCAATTGTTGTTAATGGAATAGTCTCAAATAGATTAATATAAAATCTAAAAGATACTGCGGATTCGTTAACAAGGTTTGACAAAAGAGCAAGTGTATAGTTCATTGAAGGGGATGGGATAAAGCCTATTACATAAGGTCATCATAATAATATCCCTACTTATATGACTGGAGATCCTAAGAACTAGTTCAAAGGGACAACTAAGTTATGTTGGCTCGCTAGAAATCACCAAGGAGTAAAATTTTACCCATTCCTATGTGAGAGTGATATCTGCAACATGTGTTGTCTGCAGGGGTAAAGGATAACTTTGCTTTTAATGATTACTTATATCTTGATTTAGGCGTAAAATCAAGACGAGTATAAGGAGATACTCACAATAAGAATCACCTATATGAGTGTTGAACTGGGGCCGGTTCTATGAGAATGAAGGGCTAAATCCTCTAGAAGCACTCATGAAAACCAGGGAGCGTTCAAGGCCAAAATGAACACAACAGTGAGAACCACGATGTGTTATAAGATATTTGTGTGAAATCTATTGTCTTGGCTCACACAAAGGCTGAAACATTCATGCAACAAGTCCATTGGTTAGCTAGTAAGTCCGATGGTTATCACTAGGAAGGTTTAAGGCCGCAAGATATTTTCGACTTAACTCTTTTGACTAAGTCAGTATATTGTTTCATTTCCGTTGTCATCAAAATTCCATTCATGTGGGGGATTGTTAGAAATGGTTGGAAAAAGTCTGGGTAAAAATAAATTTTTTCCTAAGTTTTTGGTCTATTTTTAGGTGGGAACCCAAGCGTCATTTTCGCGGTCAAAGTAGTAATGCTTCTATCACGTTGTGATTCGTGGTATATTTGGTTGCTCAAACCTTTATCGAGTGAATGGGAAATTGAAAGCCACAGTGTGCTTCATGAAAATGGAGTTTTTGGTGGAAAATCCTTAAGGATGAAAAATGGCTTGTCCCACATTGATTTGGTGGAAGTTTTGAGTGGATTTATACGGCAATGGGATTGAACTTGGGGTGTGCCCCAAGGGGTACCCAAGTTTTTGTAGAGATAGAGGTTATGGACAAAATGGGCTAGACCATTGGACCCCAAAAATCACCACACACTCACGCGCAGGCCGCCGTTGCCACCGCCATCCGTCCCGTCAACCGGGCTTGGCACTGGTGTGGTGTGTGGTTGGGTTGGGCTTGTTCAGTCCAATACTAATCTTTTTGGGCCATAAACATTTGGGTTTAATGTTGTTTTTTGAAATAAAATATGTCCAACTGTCTAGATGGAAATTAATTCGGAATTAAATGTTCGATTTTTTTCCTACACCCAAACGGACCTACAGTTTTTATCTGTTCAAATTGAATTCAACAGGTTTGTAATATGTTTATTCAAACTGAACAGGTATCATACCTGTTCAAACAGGTTTTGCACCTATTCAATTCAAACCCAACAGCCTAAATTCTCCTATAAAATAGACCAAGTCTCTCATTGTTTTCTTTACTCCAATTTTCGTCCATCCTTGCTGCAAATCTTTTCTTGCATTTTGCTGCATTTTTTCCAGTATTTTTCTATGAGAAAGAGTAATATACACTAAGTGTGTTCGTTGAACAAATAAATTGTAGTGCTGCATTTATTTGTTGATTGATCATTTTATCCTGGGAGATAGACGTCCATATTCTGAAAGCACCGTGGAGAGGACAAATCTATCTTAAGGACACAGTGTCGAACACTGGACTTGATCAGATTATTATTCGAAGAATTAATCAAGTAAGTTGTTTAATTTATTTTCTGTTTTATTTGTTTATTTAAATCAGATTTAATTTGTTTTGTAACAAAAGAAAATCTATTTTTATTTATGTAATTTTTATTTCTAGTTTGATTTTTGTAATCAAACATTCTCTCTCCTTTCTTATTCCTTCTGTTGTATTCTATTTTGTCGTTTAGTACCTAAACAAAATTGATTTATTTAAGTACATAAAGATTGTCCAACATTGAGTTGGTTGCTCTGTCTCTTCGTTGGTCTTTCACCAACTCTGGGGTGCTCGCAAATGATTGGATGAGCTTTTTGGTGTCAACCTAGTTGGGATCAATTAGCTCATTATGATGTGTTGCACTTCCATTCTCTTTATTGATGTACTGTGCTTGGTACCTTGTACTTGTTTATTCCATCAACAAAGTTTCTTTTTGCCGATAAAAAAAAAAAAGAAGAAGGTATATTTACATGATAAAGGCACTTTTTAATTTCAAAACTAGCCTATGTATAAGCAATTTAAAATCCATATTTGTGAAGATCCCAAATTCTAATGTCCTTAATGATATAGAATATTCAATTTAGTGAGGCCTTAGTAATGACCCTTAGTAAAGGCTCCAAATTTGCAAAGCATACAAAATGTGTTTTATTTCTTTGGGTCCAAAATAAGCAAGTAAGGCCACATGTGGTTAGACTAAGGCCTTTTTGGGAATAGATTTCTTTTAGTAATTTTTTTATTTTTAGCTAAAATATGATATGAAAAAAGCTAATATGTTGGAAATGAGTTTTGATTTTTTACAAAAAGATATGCAAAAAGCAGAGTGATTATAAATAAATCTTTGAATTTTAGATATTTGTTGGTTTTTTTTAGTTTTTTATAATGACTTTTTTTTTTTTTTTTTACTTTTAAACTAAAATGAAGAGTTGCCAAAAAATACCTAAATAAAAGCAAAGACTTACTTGTTCTTTTTAAAGAACTTGTATTGGGTCCAAAAAAAAAAAAAAGGCCTATGTGTAGACACCCCATTTTTGACAGCCCATAAGACTTGGGCGTTACTGATGGTTTACTTGGTGATAAAAGGTGTGCAAGGCAAAGATCCAGTTTCTTCGGCAAGGGAGAAAACAAGTCTCAAATTCACACCCCGTTTTGGACCAAAGCTATTTTGGATGGTTTTTAGACCTTAAAACCCTCTCTTTCAAAACTTTTTTGAAATAAAGTTTTGCGATATTCCGAGGCTCGCATTTTGTCAAACGTTGCGCTTTTGGTAAACCGAGCAGGGACAAAGTGGAATGAATGAAAGAAGAGATGAAATCTTTGAAAAATCTTTCAAAACACCTTGCTTAGGGGTTTGAAGTTGAAGAA